TGCAGGAGGCAGCTGATCGATGTTTCTCTCTCATCGATGTTTCTAACTCTCTATCCCTCTCCCTTCCTCTCTGTAAAAAATCAATAAAATATATATATTTTTTTTAAAAAATTCTGTGGTGGGCCACACAACTCACAGGCACAGTGGGGAGCAAGAACCTGGAAGCAATCTGGTCTCAAATAATCTGCTCACCTGCCCATATTCTCCTGACACGTATATAAGTAAACAATATAGTGGGTTGTTTTTTTTTTAAATTAAGGGCTAATCCTACAATGTATTGGACACCAGACAGCCAGTCCCGATGATTCTCCATTGTGACCTTAAATTTATCTGAGCCTCAGATTTCTCAGGTGTAAACCACAGGGCATCAGTGATCTCTCTTCTAGTTCTAAAAGTCCGTGGTTAATTGACACTAAACAAACTTTCCATTTCAGAATATGGAATCCCTCCTCTATCATTAAATAAGTCACTGTTACACTGGACTGGACTGAATAAATCAGTCAATGTGTTTAGTCAAATATCTATTATAAGCAAAACACCTTGTACTCTTTTGAAATGTATTTGAGTTAAGTGACCCCATTGGTGTCTTCAGGTAAAAATCTTGAAGCATCTATGGTCAGAAATGAGAACAGATTTCTAACCTCTGCATGGAGCAGCGAGGGGGTGGGCAGTGGTGAGAAACCGTACAGTGTGGCTCAGCTTCTGTGTTGTGGGTAGGTGGTTATGAACATTGCAACACGATAACTCTCACCCAGAAAACCCACCGCGTAATCCAGGGCTAAGTTTCCACCCTGTCCCAGGTTCTAACTCAAGTTGACTCTACTTCAAACGAAGGAAATCTTGTTTGGCCAAATACCCATGGAGCATTGGTTTCAGGAATGTGACATGCTGTTAAACCACAGCCGTGTAAGCTTGCGGCCACTGAGATTTTCCAAGGGTGAAAGTTTCACTTTTCAAAGAAAAATATGGCACCGCAAAGCTGGAGACACATAAGCTGAATGGTGTGGCTCAGCCCAGGACTCTTTCTCTCTCAAAGAACACCTACTATGTGTGAGTCTGTCCGGGGAGAAGGCAGGGAGGCACGTGAGAATAGGCTGTTACAAGATTCCAATGATGAGATACAGTTCCTGCCTTTGAGTCTTTTCAGGAGGCGGAGAGAAAGGACAGTCGGGATACGTCCAATGTCAACTTGTGGCATCTCAGAGACCGGGGAGCAGGAGCACTGGGAATGTTGCCGGGTGTTACCCCAGAAGCCAGGTCAAGTGGATGGTCAGTATGGCCCAGCTGGGGCGGGGGGGGGGGGGGGGGGGGGGGGGCAGAGTGGTGCTGGAGCAGATGCTGAAGCTGGAAGCCCGAGGGCACCAGGCAGGGAGAGGTTCCCTAGCAATCAACACAGGGACTCAGCGTCTGAGGTCATGGGTCAGGCCCCTGGGCTCTCACCACACATCTGCCTGGGAGGTTTGGCAGAATGGTCACCAAGAACTGCTGAACACTGCCCAAAGAGGATGTGGGAATGTCCTGTCTCCCTAGATTGGAGTTAATTAGCATTTCAACGTAAAGGAGGTATGTGAGGGACTGAATTCATACAGAATCAGCTCTCAGAGAATCACAATAATCATCCTAACCCAGCTCTCCCTCCGTGTCAGAGTCCCTGCGGCGGCTTAGTTATCCAGCTCCTGTTCGGATGCCCCCAGTGACAGGGAGCTTGCTCTCTCACAGGTAGCCATGTCATCACCGAAGGGCTCCAGTTTTTCTTTACATGGTGCTCACATCTCCTTCTTCTTACTGACCCTCCTAAGTGCATGCTCTGTCCTTCAGAACAGGCCCGAACCCAGATTTTCTACAACAGCCCTTGATTTGAAGGTGGGGCCACGAAAATACCCCTGAACACCCCTAATTCTTCACACCATGTTTGGGGGGATGACTCCTTGACCTGGTTAAGGTCATCTGAACACTGACTAGTGTGCTCATGTCCTTTGAAAAACATGCTTCCCGCCTCCCCCACACCGAGAGCCGTCTTCCAAGGGCAGTGAGAGCCACACAGGTCAGAGCATGGGCAGAATGTGGGCAACACTGGAAACAGGAGCCAGTTGACTCGGAGCCCCAGTGGACGGGACTGAATGATGATCCAGATAAGCGGTTCTCAACCTGTGGGTCGAAACCCCTTTGGGGGTCAAATGACCCTTTCACAGGGGTCGCCTAAGACCATCGGAAAACGCATATATAATTACATATTGTTTTTGTGATTAATCACTATGCTTTAGTTATGTTCAATTTGTAACAATGAAAATACATCCTGCATATCAGATATTTACATTATGATTCATAACAGTAGCAAAATTACAGTTATGAAGTAGCAACGAAAATAATTTTATGGTTGGGGGTCACCACAACATGAGGAACTGTATTAAAGGGTCGCGGCATTAGGAAGGTTGAGAACCACTGATCCAGATCCACCCAGCCTGGGGTGACCCTCCCAGACAGACCAGGCAGACCTGAGGCTGAGTATTTGTTAAGCCCTAAGTGATCTGTAGCTTCTCACTGTCTGGGGTAAACGCAGGCCCCTGAGCCAGAGTCTGTGGAAGTCGGATTTCACGGACACTGGTGGGGAAAACCACTGGGACCTGCACTTGGCATAGAAGGGAGAAGCCCGCCCCCTTGTGGACCTCTGGAGGGTGGCAAGGTACGAAAAGCACCCTGAAACCTCTCAGGAGATTAGAGATCTGGGGGCGTAGCCACTCCCTGTCACTGCTCCCATTTCACCAGTTGCCTCTGGTGGCCTGTAAGAGAATCAATCTAGGCTGTCACAGGGCAGGGGCCTGGTGGCAGGGGATATGAAGGGAAGTTAGGTGGTGTAGTTGTCCGCAACAGAAAGTTGGAGAGAAATTAGGCAGGTGTTATTAGCCGTTGAGAAAAAGAAAGGGCAGATGGGTGGGGAAGCAGCAGGAGGCCTGTCCTTGCTCTGCCACTCCCTGGTGGCCCCAGGCAAATCACAGTCCCTCTCTGGGCCTCCAAGGGCTCAGTGAGGTGAAGACTACAATCCCTCTGAATGCAAATTATAGACCCAGCTGAAGGCTTTCCCAGGCCAGCCTGGACAATGGTCCCTCATTGGTGGCACCACACCCCTGATTGCAGATCAGGGGATGAGAGGTGGCCAGCGCAAAGGGCATGTGTGAAGGGGAGGCAGAGGGCATCAACCTCACCAGTGTGGCCGATCCACCCGTCCCTGCCATGGGCCCTTCCATCGTGTGCCATACCCCTGGGAGCTCCAAAGAGTCATTTTCCACAGTGGTCTCCCCGCCTCCCGCAACTTTGGCCAAGCCTAACTCTAGCAGCATGACCTCCTCCCAAAACACTTCTCCATGGGGCGGAGGTCCTGTGCCATTAAACATGCTTGCCCCAGATAGATGCGACCCAGGCCCATTTAGTACACAATACGACAGCCCACCAGCATTGATTCTGCCTCACACTCTCAACTGCCTTGACTCAGCACTAAGCACATTAACACAGATTATATTTTTAACGTATTTTCAAGGTGAATTCTGCAACGCTCTGTAATCAATGAGTGTAATTGGGCTTAATGTAGCCCTGAGAAATGCAAGCGAGAGCACTTTCCTCAAAGCTCTCCAGATAAAAAATAAAGCTGGATTTTAAAAATTGAATTATATGCTAAAATGGTTCAAATTTTTTTCTACTCTCTGCTCTAAAGAGACAGGCGGTCATGGAGTCACCAAAAACGTTTTGAAAGGCTAACTGTATTCTGGCAAACTAAGAAGTATTGAAGCCCTTAACAACTGGCCTTGTATAAATTATCTGAGATAATGTCCTCCAGCCACTGTGCTCCTGGCTGGAATGATCCATGGCGACTGCTATCGGGGGAGGGGTCGCCTCTGGGCAGCACAGTCTCTCCTTTTTGAATAAAGGTATTATAAGGTTATTGTGGGCACTATAAGTTATGTAAACACCCCTTAAAAATCAAAGGGTTCCAACAGTAAGTACAATAGAAGTTCTACCTAAAACACTAAAGTCAGGTAGAATATGTAACTCTAATTGTAGACAGACCCTTTTCAAACACCTATTTAGACCACCCAGTTTCTGTAGCATTGCCAAATCCTAAAATTGCAATGAAAACTTTAAAGTCCAAAACCTACAAGCCATCAGAGGTTCAGTAAGCAGAATGTGCCATTTCAAAACGGAAAATGTGCTTGCATAAGCAAGTCACCGGGGCTAACCTTTCTGGATGGAGTCTGGCCTTCAGCTCAGAACATGGCTATGCCAGGGTCAGAAATGTGACAAAACTGTGCTTTCACGGGGGTTAGCCAAGGTTCACAGGGTCATGACTGGGCCATTTTATCAGTCATGTCAGGCTCACACCCTATTGCCCAGCATAGATAAAAACTTTATCTGTCAGTTTGCTAAATCTGCTCCTCCTGCTGTACTTTCAATAAAGAAAACCTGGACTCACTTATCTGAACCAGAGACTGGCCTTTCCCAATACGGCTTTTATGGCAACTTCTGAGTAAAGGAAACACACCGGTGATTTTTGGTCTCACTTTAGTCAATAACTGGAGTGACTGGCTTTTTGTCTTACCTAAAACCTTGACTTCAGGAACCAGTTGTAGTGATGTGTGACAACATGGAAACGTTATTAAACATAGAGTTTATGGCTGAAGGTGTTATATTAGAATATGGTTGTTCTCAAAAGTGTTATCTTTTCAAAGTCATCTTTCTCTAAAGTAAAACAACCCCCCCCCCAATCTAAAATTAACTTTGATAGGTAGGGGAACGTTACCTTTAGAGTAACACACACAGCCACATAAATATTTTCTAATAACTGTTAAAAGAAAAAACAGCTAACGTGTCTTCCTCACAGAAAGCAGATATGCACAGATGACAAATAAAGCCATGTGTGTAGACATTTAGAAATCTGGTTAAATATAATACGTACAAATATTAAACCCGTGAGTTTTCCCACACAAGAATCTTAAATACAAGACAAGCACCTTCAAATTTTACTTTATTTGGAAACTATACAAAATTCATTATTTTAATATTTAAAGACTGTGGTACTGTAGTAGAGACACATAAATATTATAATATACATTTAGAAATTAAATATAATAGAATCAACATGACACTATGTAAAAACTCATAGGTACATTTCCAATAAGTCCGAGGCCTAGGCATTCCCACCATCAGATTTCCCCCTGGAAACGGGTGAACCTTGCAGGGAGATTGTCCACAGGGTACACGGTGGGACAGGTTTTCATTGTAGGAGGTCCATTGAGAAGCCTCCAGTCACAATGCCTGGCCAGCTCCACTATAAATATTTTGAGAAGAATTTTTGCAAACTCCTTCCCTACACAGCTCCTAAGGCCTCCTCCGAATGGAATGAAGCTAAACCTGGATGCATCCTCAGGGTGTGGCAGCATAAATCGGTCAGGATTAAATTCCTCCTTGTTGGTGAAGATGTCTGCCACATCGTGCGTATCACAGATACTGTAGATAACATTCCAGCCCTTGGGAATCTGGTATCCCTGCAAAAGATGAAGAAGTCCTGAAGGCTGGCAAACTGAAATCAAACTTTCAACAACAAAAAGTTATCACCGATATCTGGGAAAGAGTTATGAGTTAAAAGGAAAGGTGGGAGGGAAACACAGGCAGACAGACATTCAGGTTGCTGAAATGTGTCCACTTGGGGCAGGACACTGTTATCAAAAGCATGAAGGAATTTAAGCCAATGCGCAGGGAAGCAATGGGAGATGTAAAACCACAACAAAAGGGGAGGAGAGAACTTTTAACTTACATTTAATTCAAAAGTCTTAAGAGCAACCCGAAACCCCCCTGGAACTGGGGGATTCAGTCGAAGGGTCTCTTTAATAACACACCCAATGTATTTAAGCTGTTCCAAAGTTTCTATGTCCAACTTGTTGTCTTGATTGCTCTTGCAAAGTAAATCCTATCAAAACAGTCATGCAGAGGTGAACGGTTATTTTGTGCTCCAATAAAATCAGCTCAACAGACGTAAACAGGGCTTAAGTGGAGACTAGACCCCAAGGGCCCCCTGATGGGAAAGGGGAGGGGGAAACACTGAGCAGCTAGCGACCATTTGCCTCCACCCCTTGGCCCAAATCCACTATCTATTTACAATTCCAAGAGAACGTTGCTCACCAATTACAACCACCAAGCTTCTTCCCCACCCAATCACCACCACCTGCTGCTACCTACCTAGAAGTCCCCTAATTCATGCGCTTGAACACACAAATCCAAGAAAGTGGAACCTATCTGAAAACCTCCAAGGTTCTGCAAGAGGTGGCCATAGGGTAGGAACACAAGGTCAAACCCTGCCTGAGCGGGATCAGAGCTCAAGATTCCTCCCTTCTTATTCACAACAAGAATCCCCCCCCCCTTCACCCACCACCCCTGGGACCCACACTTTACAATACTCAGCAAAGGCAGCACACTTACTTATTGGGAAGTTAGCTAGGGAGCAGCAGGATTTCTTAAAGTAATAAGAACCCCCCAGAACCCCCTACCTTACTCTTCAGTTCCTCTCGCACTTTCTGGAGAACATGAGGGTAGAGCCCCAGGTAAGTGATCAGAGAAGTGGCTGCACTGGCGGTGGTTTCGTGTCCTCCAAAGAGGAGTTCGGTGGAAGACTGCTTTAGTGCCTGAAAGTGGAGTACGATAAACATTTATACACGTCTGCATGTAATTGTACAGAGGGGTTAATTACTCAGAACCCAACTGAGGGTTCTGGAGGGAATCGGAGAAGGGCTAAGTTTTGCTGACAGAAAGTCAAGGAAAGCAACATTTTATTAAAGAAAATGCAACGTCCTATTAGTTTAGCTGAAGCAGGAAGGCCAGTAAAATCCCACTCTACCGGGAAATCTTGCATTAAAGCCTTAATTGTATTAAACTCGCCAAAGATTCTTTATTTACATTTGGCAAATTCCAACTTTCCCTTTAACACCTGGAAGGGTTAGGGGATGCTCCCTGTTCCTCTCCTACCCGGTGTCTCAACTTCCCCTATCCCATGGGGGGTGGGGGTGTGTGTGTGCGTCTGTGAAGGCTGCCCACTCCGGGAAGCTGGGCCCCAGGCCAGCCCTTTGGGGGTCCCAGGAATCGCACTTGGAAAACCTGGAGCCCAAACTCCGCAGTGCTCCTTCCGAAGCTGCCACTCGCCTGCATGTCCAGCCTCTCTCCCCGCTCCCACGAGTGCTCGATCAACAGCTGCAGCGCATCTTTGTAGCCCGCGCCAGCCTCGGCCGCCCGCAGCCCGCAGATCTTGGCGCGGATGTTCTCCTCGATGCGCGCGTGGATGAGGTTCCGCGCCTTCATGCCCTGAGCGCAGAGAGCGCACCGCGGTGAGCTAGGCCGGGCACCCGCGCCCCCACCCCCTAGCTCCGCACCCTGCGTGCCGCCATTACCCGGTACAGCCCGCTGAAGGGCACGTCGATGGGCAGTGAGAAGAGATTGCGGGTCATTTCCTCGAAGGCCTCCACGAGCTGCTGCTCGGCGTCCCCGCCGCTGGCCAGACGGGACTCGCAGCCCAGCAGAATGCGCATGGCGATGCGGAACATTAGGCGCTTCACCTGGGGGTAGACCAGGAGGCCCCGCTCGCCGCAGCTCAGCCATTGCTCCAAGCAGTTGCCCACTTCTTCGGCGATCACCGGCACGTAGCACTGGAGCGCCTCACGACTGAAGGCCTGCATAATTACCTGAGCCCCAAGGAGGGGAGAATGTTAAAACCCGGTCCCATTCCTCTCATCTTCCGGGGACCCCTTCCAGACACCCCAGCTCCGCCAGACCCGAGGCACTTCCTGGCTGTGAAAGCTAAACTGGGCCGGAGAGGGTCCTAGCCGACGCCTCCTGCAGCTAGCGTTCGCCCAGCATCTCTCTGCAGGAGCCCCTCGGACGACTGGGGTCCCCTTTCCAGTCCAGGAGACTTCACCTCGACCCTCACCTTCTTGCGCTGCTTGTGCGAGGAGTCGTGTAGGTTGGAAAGGCAGCCGGAGCCCAGGATGGTGCGCACCGACGCGGGCCAGTGGACGGACACGAGCCGGTGCTCCCCGAGCAAGATGCGCCGCACGTTGTCGGCACCCATCACCCGCACCGTGGGCCGCCCAAACAGATGCGTCTTGTAGATGAAGCCGTATTTCCTGCGCTTCATCTGCAGGAACTTCCTTCGCTGCGAAAGGAAAGCGGTGAAGAGGCGGGCGTGAGGGGGCGCCGGGGAGCTCAGCGCCTCGGGCTCGCCCCGATCCCAGCCGTAGTCACGTCCTCCCGTGCGCGCTTGCCCGGGCTTCAGTGGCAGAGAATCGCCCTGTCCCGCCCCAAGCTCCCTTACCTGTAGCACCATCTGCAATGTTTCCCCAAAGAAGGGAAAGCCCATGGTTCCGGGGGGCAAAGGGAGGGCGCAGCTGCGGTCGCGGCTGCTCACGCAGTACAGGTCCCAGAGCTTGATCGCCGCCAGGAAGAGCAGCAGCGGCAGCACGAAGGTGCAGAGAGCACTGGCCAGCAGCGCCGGGAGCCCCATCGCGCGCCGCAACCGCCCGCGCCACCTGCCGCCGCCGCCAGCACTCCGAGCCCAACCACGCGCCCGCTTTATAGGCGGCCCAGGTTGCTGCCCACGTTACCTTGGTCAGACAAATTAGTTCACCCAAAGTTCATCTTTAATTGCGGATTGGGTCCCTGGCTCCTCCCCCCGCGAGGCGCTGCCCAAAATCTTTAACCGTTTGTTCCGCGCGGAGGCAGAGGCGGCGCGGTGGCGGCTACCCCCGGCGCGGGCCTCCCCGGGCGCGGACTTAGGAGCAGCCCGCCTCCCCCATCCAAGGTGTGTGGAGCTCCGAGGTGGCGACTGGGGCCGACCCGAGCTCGGGGCGCGTGAACTCCAGCCCTGGGCTTCCTGGCAGTCCCTCTGGCATCCCTCCTGTCGGGTCCGACGGGCGGTCCCAGAACAGAGCTGCCTTCCCCGATTTTCCAATTACGGGCGCCGCGTGGGCTCCCTCCCACCTGCTAGGGAAGCAAAGGGAAGTGCGTGCAGGGATCGTCAAGCTGCTTCATCCCACTGATGGGGAAACTGAGGTCCCTAAGCCGAGCAAAACGGAGGCTTCCCGACTCTTCGGAAGATCCGGCCAGGACCACCAGGAGAGCCGCGGGGAATCAGGCACGACCGCAGGATCCTGGATCCCGGTTACCCAACCCCCTCAAGGGGAGTCACGGAGGTCCCATTTAAGGGTACAAGACAGCCTCCAGGTCCCTCGGGTGCAAACCTGCACCAGTCAGCCCCACCCTGGGAGAGCGCAGGGCAATTCCTCCATGGCCCGGCGACCGGCGCTCTGCGACCTGGCCACATACGGCCGGGTCCCGATGACCCGAGGCGTGCAGCCCCGGCTGGGCAGAGGGGAATGGGGGCTTTCGCCCCAGCAGGATAACGAGACGGAGACGGTGGAAGGAAAGCCCAGGGGTCTGGACCCGAGGCCTGGCTCCATCTCTCGTTGGCATCGCTTTGGGCAAGTCACCACACATCCCTGCGCCTGCTCCTCCTCCTTCATTTGGAGGCGATCACTCCCGACCGTTCCACACCTCGGGGTAGTTTGTGAGTTTCCCAAAGGGGCTTTGAGTTGCAAATACTGTTTCCAGCTCCAGGCACGCTAGGCTACACAGGACACCGGAGTGCCCTGGGCTACCATCCCTGGAGCCTTCCTTGGCTCTGCGGGCTCCTACCCTGCGTAAAGCCACCCACCGAGTGAGATGGGTACTCTGCCGGCCGCCAATGGGAGTGTTGGAATCCCAACTGGGGAGCGAGTCTGCCGGGCTTTGCCCAAATACCTTGGTACCCAGTGCTGCCGATGCCTGGAGCTCGGACCCTGCGGGAAGCGCACGTGCGATCCCCACTTCCCACCCGGCCAAGCCGCACAGCTCCCCACTAGGCCGGGTCACACGCGCCGTTGGTTTGGGAGCGGAACGCACCCAGCGGGGCCAAAAACAAAACAGAATATCGTACATTTCTTTAAAACTGAACACCGGCTCTCGCACGAGCCCACCTCACGCTTTGGAAAGCGTCCCAGGCAGATGAGAAACTTTATTCTTGAGAGCTGGGAAGTACGTGCCCCTCCCGCGGCGGTCCCCAGAGCCAGCGGGATCGGAAACCATCTGCGGACTCAGGGACCGCGCAGACCCCGCACCGCTCCAGGCCCGGGTCGCCGCGTGTTTGGAAGAGACAGCGTTTCCCCATCATCCTACTTGGCCATTTCAGAAGCTCTAGAAAAGGGTCTCTCCCACTGCCATTTCTTCTAACGACCTGGCGACTGTCCCTGGCGCGCCAGCCGACTTCTGGACTCTGGCAGGAGCCGAGATTTCTGGAGGTAACGCTGATATCTCGGGGCCGCCCCGTTCTGAACAGTGCCTGTGGCCGGTGAGCGACGCTGGCGAGCGGGGGCGTGACCAGGGGCCCAGTCCCAATCCTCAGGCCTGACCCGCCTGTGACCCCTGCAGGCCGGACCGTGACATCCGAGTGAACTCTGCTGGGCCGCCTCGCCAAGTTCAGCGAGCGCCGGGTCACAAGATGAGCAGAGCCTTCGGGCTGGAAATTGCCAGAGGGGTAGGGGAGAGTTTTAATCTATCTGCCCATCGAGAACCGTGGGGGTGTCAGGCGGGGCCGGCCATGCGGGCAGAAAGGATTCAATGGGAGAGCGAAGATCATTAAACAACATCTTGAAGGGGGGAAGGGCTCAATAAATTACCAGCCCAATAAGAACTTTGATCTAGGAACCTTGCCAGAGTTTCTTGGGTGGCGGTGGGCGGTTCGCTGGAAAACAAAATGTTTCCAAATTGTTTATAAAAGTCTCCCTGTGGCCCAGGGTTGGGGTGGGTGCGGGGAGTAGTTTTTGCGGAGGGAAGGGAGTCAGGTGAGGTAGGGCAGCAGAAGCACCCCTCCTTCCTCTTCTCCCTTCAACTCCTTCTTCCCATCTTTGAACATTCTGTCCTTTCTCAGGGTTCTACACCTGCTGTGCCCTCTGCCTGGGGTGCCCTCTTCCAGGTCACCACTGGCTGGTTCCTTGCAAAGTCCAATGGCCTCCCCTGAGAGAAGCCTTCCTGGCCCACCCTGATGAGTGTAGCCCCCCAGGCACTCAGCATTACAGGCCTGATTTTCTCGCCAGCACTTATCACCATGGGACATATTCTTGCTCTTTTGTTTGCTAGTTTATTTACTGTCCACTTCCTTCGTGAGCATACCCGTCCAGAAGGGCAAGAACCATGTCTGCTCCTTTCTTGGGGGAATCTGGAGCTACTAACAAAGGAGCTCAGGTATCCCGTGAAATTACTGAAAATAACGGGTTAATGGAAAATTAGAGTAAGATTGGAGCTGCCCCCTACAGGGGCTTGTAGTTAGTACAGAATCCAGAGCAGGTAAACCAGGTCTCTTGGCACCAGCTACACTCGCAGGGCTCCTGAGAACCCCCTGCCCCATATTTCTCTTCTCTCCCCAAATCAGAATCAACCCCCAAACCTGGTCCTCCTGCCACCTCACCCTGGTGGGGCTTCTCAGGCCCCGCTGTTGTCTCTGCAGCCTCTGAGCGCCCTGAGGGCAGGCCTCAGTCCCTCTACATTTGCTGGCTCTGGCGCCTGCGGAGCCCACGGCCTGGCGCCGGCCCTGTGGTCAGCAGTGGGTGATGAATTGCCCTGAATGGGGTTATGGTGGTGTCAGCCTGACTCGGAAAGGCCCGCTGCGCTCTTGAGCTACTGGCCCTGCTCACGCCTGCTGCTTCCCCCTTTCCTCCTGGCCCAGGGATCCACCTTAAGCATAAGGTCAGGAGGGCACCAGCTTCCTTCTGGTTCACTAAGGGGTCAGCTGGGGCCTCAGCGGCAACTTTCCTGGCTCACCCATCCCTTCCAGCTGCCCCCGCCTGTCTGAAGATGAGTGGCAGATTGAGGCTGTTGGGAATGAAGACACTGGAGGCTCCTGGCTTTGGTTTAAACGCTGATAGGAACCTCTGTGTTGGAAAGGTCCAGAGAGAGTAAGTGCTTAAGCCAGGGGTGGGCAAACTTTTTGACTCCAGGGCCACAATGGGTTCTTAAACTGGACCGGAGGGCCGGAACAAAAGTATGGATGGAGTGTTTGTGTGAACTAATATAAATTCAAAGTAAACATCATTACATAAAAAAGTACGGTTTTTTTTTTTTTTTTAGTTTTATTCATTTCAAATGGGCCGGATCTGGCCCGTGGGCCATAGTTTGCCCACGGCTGGCTTAAGCCAACCTAGGGATCACTATGAAAGGACCAAAGGGCTGAGTTCTACCTACATGGTGGCCACAGGCTCAGAAGCTGAAGGGGGAGGAAGGGTTGGAGGGAGGTGTGTGTGTGTGTGTGTGTGTAAGGGGTGGGGTAAAGGAAAGCACTGGTCAGCAGTCCAGAGCCCATTGCTGGCTTCTCAAGGGGTCTTTCGCCTCAGTTTCTAATCTGTAATAAAGGAGGTGGAGGTGGTTTGGTTCAGTGGATAGAGCATTGGCCTGAGAACTGAAGGGTCCCAGGTTCAATTCTGGTCAAGGGCACATGGTTGGGTTGCAGGCTTGATCCCCAGTAGGATGGAGATTGGATGCAAGAGGCAGCCAATCAATGATTCTCTCTCATCATTGATGTTTCTCTCTCTCCAAAATCAATAAAAATATTTTTTTTTTAAAAAAAGGAGGTGGAGGTATTGACCCTGCAGCCATCTATCATGGAGCTAATTGGCAGCCCAGCTCTTGGGGCTATCCTATGCTCTGTCTGCAGTCTTGGCCCCAGATCCAGGCCCCTCTCTGGATGTATGCTGGGATGGGTCATTGGGGGGGGGGTGTCTTTCCTGGGTGTCCCCCACCCTCTACTCCATACCTATCCACAGGGAGCAGCTAGCTGCCCAGCTAAGCCCTCGCCTCCTCACTCAACTGCTGCCAGGAAACTATTTCTTGGCCTTCCTGTTTTGGGTACAAATATCCCAAACCTGAGTATGTCTCAACCTCTCATGAAAATAATCCAGCCTTAGAGAAAAGGTGTGCCTATTCTCCCTTGTAAATGGGAAGATTAAACAAGTTCTTGAAGAAGGAATTTTTCTTTTAAGAAGTCGCCAGCAGAATCCGGTGATGTTGAGCCGTTTAGAGCCCTGGAAACACCCGCAGAGTGGCCATGGCTGCCTGGGGGCCTTCCGTTGGACGCCTTCTCGGTGTCATCCCATGGCCCAACGCCAGGGATGTGCTGCCGGCGTCCCCTTCTGCCCAAGGGTCGCAGGTCCAGCCGTTCGCGCCAAGTCTCTGGCACGGTCCACAAGGCGGCCCCACGATGCAATCATCCTCCCAGGGGTGGCACAGAAAGGTGAGACCGCGCAGCTCCAATGGAAATCCGTTCCTTCCATCCCTGCTTCGGGGTCCTGGGAAGGGCTTAAGGAGCGTGGCCCCCGACCGTTCCTTCCTAAGGGCGCTGAGCTCGCAAGAGGCGCCGCCTCACCGGCCTGGGCCTTCTCCGGGGCTGTGGCGGTGGCTCGCGCTCGCCCTCCCTCAGAGTCCCGCACAGAGCCTCATTCGGTGGCCGTTTGTTGAACGAGTATAAAGAGCGCACGACCTGGCACCGGGGAAGCGCAGATGGGTGTCGCCAAGCCACTGACCGTGTCCCACAGCGCAGCGGATCAGAGGCAGAGCCCATCTCGCGCTGCCGAATGCGCGAGCGGGTGGAAAAAGAGGCGCAGCCCGTCCACCGGGTGCACGATGGGCACGGTCTGCATGGCGGGGAAGGCAGGCGTGGCCAGTTCCCAGCGCGCCGTGCGCACCAGCTCCACCGC